TTCCGTGCCTGGAAATGCAACGTACTTCATGCTAAGATAAATCACACGTGCAATCAAAGTCCAAAATAAGAAGCTAAGGTCAACGTAAAAGCAGCAACAATAAAAAAATAAGCCGGGTCACAAAACAAAAGAGAATACGAGAGGAGCGTACAGTTAGTCAGACGGATCGCGAGAAAATGCAATGAAGTATGCAACGAACTGTCATACGTACCACAAACGTCTTCTTTTTAGGGTTCCGTACCTCAAAAGGTAAAAAAGTAACCCTTATAAGATCACTTTCTTGTCCGTCTGTCCGTGTGTCACCACCGATTTTCTCAGGAACGGGTAGAGCTAGCAAATTGAAATTTATGCCAGATACTGAGGTTAATAGTCCCTATTAGGTGTATAAAAATCAAGGTCCTGAGTCAACACAATAAAAAGATATGGGCAAATTTGGATTTTCGCGAAAATTTGTAAGTACCAAAATTTCCCTTAATTTTCAACTTTCTTATTTTTCAGAATTTTTCTCTTTACTTGAAGACCTTGCTTTTAACCAAAATTGTCAATTCTAGGTCAACCGGAAGTACCTATAGGTTTTGGGTCAAAAACCTGTATGGTAGTTCCCGTTGACCTAGAATCACGAAATTTGGCAAAAAGAAACGTCTTACAGCATAAATAAAGGAATAATTCCAAAAAATAAAAAAATAAATCAAAATTAAGATAAATTTTAATACTTACAAATTTTCGCGGAAATCTACGTAAAATCTGGGTAGGTACGGAACCCTCGGCGCACGAGTTCGACTCGTACCTGACCGGTTTATTAATGTGCGTTTATTTTTGATGTAAGGACAAATAAAAAGTAAATTTAAAAACATTTATTTTATTTGCTGTACTCACTCATAGATGTTTTAGTTTAAAATTATAAACTTTAATTCTTCAATTAAATAATTCTTAAAAATAAATATGTTTATTTGTTCACTTCGGTTTAATTATACGAAACGCATAAAATTAAAGCGAACAGAACGAATGAACAAATTATAAAAAAACATTTAATTACAATGAAGACGAACTCTGGTAAGCAAGTCCTTTGATAATTTACGATTTTAAAAATTGATAAGTCTAGACTTGTAAATTCGTACTTCTAGGTTTACCTAAGGAGCGAAATCAAACACAAGCGTAACGTAGAAAGTGTAAAACCAAGTGAGATTGGCGGTAGCGTAATAATCGGGCTATATAACATTATTACAACTTCCGCCGTATTATACATACATCACACCCCTTCACTTAAATTCTAATTAGTTTTACTAAAAACAATAAACTTATGCACTATGATCTTATGAACTACGAGCATGATCTACATCGAAACCATATCTTATAACTGGCTTACGTACTCGCCTGGAACGGCCCACCGTCAATGCAGTATCGTCTGTTACCACGCTTGCTGGCTCCTGCGTACACGACCCGCTTGCCGTAACCACTGGGGCACTGGTTCCTAAATCTACTACGGGGTCTGGACTAGGACATGGCCAATCAAACTCTGGTACTAATCTACTTTTTAACTGATTAACGTGTCTCGTGACAAGCGAACCGTCATCCCTTACTATTTTATAATTACAATATAACTTTTCCTTTACCTGTCCCCTACACCATTTATCTCCTTCACCATAATTTCGCGACCACAACTAACTGACTAAACGTTTTTGTAGCCGGCCGCTCAGGTGTACACAGATTCACCATTAACTAATACGCGTCACTACCTACGACCGTAATTAATGTAGCCACTTTTATTGCTTCTTTCACATCATTAGCTACAAAATATTGTTCTAGCCTTTCCACGTATGACCGCCAATTGTCCTTACTCACGTCGAACGGCCCGACCTTACCTACTGACATTTTTCTTGAATTACCACCGAAACACAAAAAAACAGCTTGCACGCGTGAACGATGCACTACCTCGTCGCCACTGATAAGTCTAGACTTATCAGTGGCGACGAGGATGGGATGTAAAAATCGAATAATCTTTACCTCCGCAACGATTAAAATGTAACAACATTAAATTAAAAAATAAAAATTATAGAATGTAACTGTTTTAGGACATCTGGCAAAAAAAAAGAATCACGTGATTGTTTAAATTATTTGGAGCCTTTAAACTTTAATTCAACTCAGTAGTATAATTTTTTACTTTATAAAAAATGTTTAACTAAAATAGTTATTTTATGTTTCGCTTAAATCGTACGTAGTTGCGTTCTCTCGTTACAGAACGTCAGTTTCACCTGTCAAAATGCACTTCATAGATTGTTTAGACTATAGACGAACTAGGTGTGAGTTTTATTTTGTATTTTTTTACGAATTAATATCAAACACAAATGTTAGTGCTCATTAAAATCGTAACTTATTTTTAAACCTATTTCAGGTAGATATGAAAAAACGCAAAGAAAATAATTATAAACACAAAAAAAACAGAGCAGTAAGTATCCATAATGTACTCACTTTTTACTCGACTGTGCAAAGCCACCTTTTTAAGATGTCTACCGATTCAAGAGCTACAACGTAGTTACATAAACACCTTCAAATCGACTTTATTAAAAATGAATGAGTTAGTTAAAAACGCCAATGCGTTTGTACAATTACAAAGATATTCCAATGACGGGCCTGTTAGTCTAGTGCAGGGGTCCCCAAACTTATTTTGTCTACTGCCCACTTTGAGAATAAATTATTTTTTAGCGCCCCCATTTTTTACTTACTTAAAAACCACTATAACTTCAAATTAAATTAATTAATTATTGTGAGCTATATTAGCGGAGATTAAACATTCATTCTAAACGAGACTTCTACTATAACCCGCAAGAGTTAACATGAGACCTGAACGCAGTAGGTAGTACACAACGGCGCTCAGGTCAAGTTAACTCTTACGGGCTATACCTGCCAATGAGAATGATAATTGAAACGCAACTTCATAGTATTCAGAGAGTTTGTTTTATTCCAAATATAACAAACATAGATTCTTATACAAAAACTAATGTGAAGAATGAATCTGATGCTGTTTAATAAGTTTGTTGATATCAGGTTCCAATTTACTCAAGAACAGCCGCAAATAGCCACGTTCGTTCTCATCACAAAACTTTTCCAATGTATTGAATATGGTTTCGCCTTTTGTATCGGTCTCTAAATTTTTAGCAAAACAATAGTTCTTCACATATTTTATCATCTTTAATAAACCTCACGTAAGACAGCAACAATGCTTCATTAGTTGGTAAAGTGGACTCATCGAGCTTAATTGAGAATTGACTAGTCCTCAGATGATTGCAAAATGATATTTCAATGTCTTCAGCCATTTCATCAATTCGTCTTTGCATAGGAAATGGCGGCAAAAAATAACGGATAATATCTGCGGCCGGTTTATGAAGCATAGTAGTTATTATTTCCTTTATTGCTGGCAACATTAACTCTTCTCCCATGTTGTGTGGTTTGTTTTTTTGAGTCGTCGTCATCTTGCTTAGCAGCCGCCGAAAATAGTTTTGCTACACTTGGCCCAGTATTACGCTTCTTCTCTAGGTCTTGAAAATATGCTACATTCTTGTCTTTCTTATCTGGATGCATTTTATTCAAATGATCTTGCAGTCTTAAAGGCTTCATTGCTTCATTCGAAAATGTTTTTAGACATAGAAGGCACAAAGGCAACGTGGGTTTGTGGGATTCCGACATTGTTTTGTTTTATGAAATACGTAAGTAAGTGTTGAACTTAGTACTGATTATTTATTACGTGCAAAACCGCTAATAAATTGCATAAGCAGCACGCACCGACAGGAGTAAGATAAACATGCATAAACTCGTTTAACTCATTCGACGCTCAATCGTACTCAACAAGTAAGGAAAAGTATTCTATGAACCAACCGATTGATATATTAATGCAAAAATCGGGTTATTTAACAAAAACTTGTTAAAACATGATTGCCCGTAGTCCATTATCTACGAAAATTACCTATCTAAGAGTATAAGATAGATAATTTTCGTGGACAAAGCAATGTCACCTCAGCTGAAAGGAGAACTTATAGAATTGACAACAAACGAGGAAATAAAAATCAAGTTCAAGAATGGCTACTTAGAATTTAGGCTACAAAAACGCAATTGTACCCTGGATTGTAGTCAATCGTTCAACGATTCTTGATGGCATTCCCATCGTCATATTTGTGTGTACGCTGCTTACTAAAAAGAGAAATCGTTTCCATGTTACCGAACGTGGCGAATTGCGAAGTTCTTGAGTAAATTGGAACCTGATATCAACTAACTTATTAAACAGCATCAGATTCATGCTTCACATTAGTTTTATATAAGAATCGATTTTTTTTTTTTTTTTTTGAATAAACAATACTCTGTCTGAATACTATAAAATTGCGTTTCAATAATCATTCTCATTGGCAGGTCATAAGAGTTAACTTGAGACCTGAGCGCCTTTGTTTACTACCTACAGCGTTCAGGTCTCAAGTTAACTCTTGCGGGCTACAGTAAAAGTCTCGTTTAGAATGAATGTTTAATCTCCGCTAATATAGCTCACAATAATTAATTAATTTAATTTGAAGTTATAGTGGTTTTTAAGTAGGTGAAAAAAGGGGGGCGCTAAAAAATTATTTATTCTCAAAGTGGGCAGTAGGCAAAATAAGTTTGGGAACCCCTCATGTAAAATATTAATGTGGATGTTCAATCTCGAGTTCTTACGCTTGAGGTTTAAGGTGCCGTATCACATTTATCGCGTTTGTATCAATACAAATGCTCGTTTACGGCGCCACTAAATTTTTAAACATGTGAAAAGGTTTATTGTTCTGACAATAAACCTTTTCACATGTTCAAAAATTTAGTTGCATGAATTTCGTTTAAAACACATTATCTGCGCGACGTCAGCGCATTCAAAATACACAGTGTGCAAAAGCCGAGCAAAAGTTTTTAGAGTTGCTAAAAGTAGAAGATATCAGGATCACTACAGATAATTGTGGGTTGCTAATATGCTAATATTTATAAATTACCTGTCAAGTGACGGATCATTGCTGAACATTTCAGTAGGCACAGTTGGCGGAGCTCGCTCAGGCAACAGTTCCATATACGATTGACGAGACTGTAGATGGCGCTCGACTTCCTCAGGTGTCATATGACCATCACCAGCTGACAAACCAAATCCTAGTGCTGGTGAAACTTTGGACAGCATTGAACCAGGTGTTTGATGCTGAAATAGTAAGATTGATAGACTTGAAATTTCGTCATGCGACGCATTTCGCCATTATTTTTAGAGACCAGAAACCTGTGTTGTTTTATTTTTGCGATTTTCGACGATGATATCGCTATTAGCTTCAATTTTAATTTTTTTTATTGCTGTCCATTGACTGTCAGGGCTCGTGCAGCGTCGCGCGTCTTCGGTTGCACCAACTTTCAGATAAGAAAAACTGTGCAGTGTGCGGAGGACTAGCTATGAGCGACTATTTGCATGAATTGCATCTATTAAGTCTCCATTATTGTAATAAAATAGATTACAAAAATTTGCGATGCACAGTCGCAATCCACCTCTGACGACTGATCGCTGCACATCTCACGACCACTGAACGTCAGTCGCGGACACGCAGCACGAGCCTTTACTCCCAAATAAAATGAAAAAGAAACTTTTCCTTACAAGATGGCTGGTGTTTGGTGGCTTCTTAGGAACTATAGCCCTCTTTCGTTTTACTGCATTTGAGCCTTTGACTGAAGAAGTTGTTGAAATATTTTGATTTGCTGTACCAGGTTCCATTTTCTTTCTGCAATATAAACATAGCTACATTTTATCTTAGAGATAAAGGTTTGGTTATGTTAGGTTACTACTTAGAACTCTTGCAACATTTGCACTCTACACAATAAAGATCTCAAATATATCTTAGATATCTTCAGAAATAAGGTGTTGTAAAAAAAAAATACATGTATGTCATCCATTTAAAGAAGACATTACTTGCTGTAGTAGACTAACCTTTTTCAAAAACTTTTCGAAAGTGAGAGAATAATAGTTTATTTTGTTTGTGATATCAAGTTAAAACAAAATATTTACCTCTTAACATCAGTGCGATAGTATTCTGGATCATCTGACGATTCAGTGTCTTCACTTTCCGATGTTGTGCTTTCAAGTTTTTCATATTGCAGTAACCTATCTAAGAGAAAACTGCGATCTCTGGACACCTTCAGCAATCTCTTTTGACTGCATCTAAGTGCATCTTGAAAACATTCGTTTTCCTTAAACAGATTATAACAATAAATAATAATCTCTGTACACAAGAAAATGGTATAAGTTATAATTTCTTATCAAAAAAAAATCCCAAACCAGTATAAAACAGTCTCTTGTGCTGTCATAATTCCATACCATACATTCTTTGAAAATTAATATCACCTAAAATACTTTCTTTTCATATTTTTTTTTATATGTCAAGGACTTTTAATGCCTACTGCAAAAAATCACTACCAAAAATTAAATTATCTTTTCCTACACAGGTAAGTCAAATGTTTGAAATCAAATGAAATAAAATATTAATACAAAAAGAAATAGATTACAGTGGATTAAATCAAATACACAGTACTCTGGTCAAGTGCTAGAGAAAAAAAAAAACTTTTCTGTGCACCATAATGACAAATTCGACAAAAAAAATTTTTTCCAACATCTTTACATATCAAAATATATTGCTTACAGATTCTGAACACAACAAACCAGACTAACTTGTGTCTGGACATGAAATCCAAAACTTGATTATTTTTGCATGGAACCGAAGCAACTTAGGAATTTTAATTCTATCTGTAATTTTCTATTGTAGTTATGTAAGTACCGACTGTGGTTTTAACATGTTTGCAACAATCCTACTCTCAATAATTAAAACAGTTTTGAAACATTGTTTTTTACACTTAACTGTTACTTTTGCCTTAACCTGACTACATTTTAAAGGAAGATAATATCTGTAAAGAGTATTACCCTTATGTAAACATAGTTGTAACAGAAAAGATTAAGGACTTTTTTCCATTTCAGCTTCAATATTAACTTATGTGACAATATTATAAGTATAGTGCAGCTTACAGAAATTTGGTAATTGTCCAGTAGGCTGGAGTATGTTTACCGGTATGTACAGTTTAGTAAGATAAAAGAAGATTCTTGTAAAGATTTTCTTTTTTATGATAATATTTAATTAATTAAGTCCATTAAATTTAAAGTGAGAGACTAATGTTTAGACCACTCAGTCATCACTGATTGGTTTCAACATTCAGTCAGTTGGCTCTGTACACAAATTGTAATGTTAAAGAAATGTATATCTACATGAACAAAACTAATATAATGAATGATAATTTCATTAGTCAGTACAGGTAATGTCAAGTTTAACGTTTGAATGTAAACTTGGTTGCCAACTGTTGACAAACTGTAAAATGGTGGTTTAATCAATACCTTGAAATCATGTTATATATCATTTTCATATTTTACATTCGCTGGTCAACATTTCAAACTTGTTCAAACTGTGGTTTACTGCAATTTGTTAGCGTAGCGTAATTTGAATCATTTCCATCCAAACCCTTGTTTAGATGGAAATGATTCACATGAATATATATATATATATATATATATTTTCCAGAACGTCACATCTCTAATCTTGATTCATTGTATATTCTACGATGTCTGGTGTCGACCATCACGCGGACGAAGTCGAGGGCATAAGCTAGTTTTTTATCTTGCATTGTTATTAGGTAGTAGTAAGAGCTTACATATATCAGGTACTTGAGTTTTTTTTTCAGAGTCAGGTACTGAGCCCTGTAATTAGGCTCTGGTTCAGGGTCGCTGCTACTGTCACTAGAATAATCCTTTGGTGATCCGTGACTCTGGGGGGGCTCCGTAGATACATTATTGCTAACGCCGGCTTCGTTGGCCTGCATGTTTGCTATAGACCGGCAGTACCACCCGTCTAGCATTTTCTGAAATAATGTATTTATCTATAACTACTAGAATAAGATACAACAACACGCGGAAATTGTTTACACGATCTTCCCTTCTTACGAAGAGATAAAACAGGTATATAAATTTACCTTTGAATAATTTTCTGACGCCAGTATAAAAACTGCTACTTAAGTCTAGAAAAAAAAAATACTGCAAGAAGTTTGCTTTGAAACTTTGTATGTTTTGGCCAAAATTGTTTGGTTACCATTTTGACAATTTAAATTACATTCGTTCCTTGCAGTATATTACAATGTACTCTGTGGTTCATATTTGGGTTGTACATCACTCGCGTATAGTTCTTCGATCAAATGTACCATAGACAAACACCCTTCCCAAGAAAAATCATATAGTGGCGCCCTTTGGTAGTGAGTATTACACTATTTATATGCATCTAAAAATCATCATGTTATGTTCTTTTTGGGGTCGGTGCAATGTATATATCGCTAAAGCTCATAACGACAGAAAATGGATATAAATCTATGCATCGAACTTCTTTGCATGTCCACTGCACCGATTTTGATTTAATCTATAGGTACCTTCATCTATGTAACAGAAAATAAAAAGTAATTAAACGCGTAGTTACGCTTACGACCCAAAAGCTAATTTAAAAAAGTAACTTCGATTATGTGAGTAATTTTTTTCTGGGAGCCTAATAATTTAATAAATAACAATACTTACAGATATTATTGACAGACAGCTGATAACTTCTTTTTTGAAGTCTCTCTAAAGAGCTGCTTTAACCCTACTTGAAGCACCAAGATCTTAAGTCTTACCAAATACCTATCATCATCATCATCATCAACAGCCTGTAATAGTCCACTGTTGGACATAGGCCTCTCTTTAGAAAAGAAGATTACATATCTATACTTTCCTTTTATTAAAACTAAGCTTGTTTGATCCTTGTTTTGATCTACATCTTACATACCGTTCCGTAAGAGAGCTATGTTACGGCATATTCGGGCCGGCCCAATCAGTGTGCTACCACCACCTTATGGGAAACCAGTGTAAAGAATTTTTTGGTTGCTTTTCATAAAGTGCGTGAAATTGTGGGTGACCAACCCCACCCTTCCACTTAATTCTGTGGGATAATAAGGTTTTACCATCTTCATCTCTACAGATTTATATCGCCTACACACTCACATGTCACATAAATATACGGTGGCGACACATCACCTTATCAGCAATGACAAAATGGTATATCGGATTCAAAACTACTAAAATGACATAACAAGGTGTATGCTTGCATACTTCTTTTACCAGTTTGTCAGAAGCACCCTAGTTGTACCCTATGTGGCGTAGTGGTTTAAGCGGTCACCACGCCGCTTCGTACTGCGCTGCGTGTTGTGGGTTCGATCCCCACATGGGACATGTGTGATTTGTGGAATGTGTGATCCACAAATTGTTGTTCTGAGTCTGAGTGGTCTTTGTGTCCGTTTTATGTATGTCTGTAAAGTCCCCCACACAGGAATATATATTCCTAATGCGGAAGTTGTCTTTTTTTTAAAAAAAAAAAAGAAGATAGATTTTCTATTATAGAAAGCACATGGAACATGAATTTGAATATTTTGTCCAAAAGAATAAATTCTGAGGTGTTAAAACTTTATCCACGATATGTAATGTAGGATTCACAGGTGATTTACTAGTTTTTAAAATATGTCAAGTGTTGTTTAGGTCTCAGCAACTCAGCAACAAAAAAAAACTACACGATTGAAAATTCCATCCCGTACCGTCCAAGGTGAACCAAGTTTTTTGTGTTAAAATATTTTTCTAAAGAATGTAACTAAACAAACATTTACTTCACGTAGTAAGTCTGAACGCTCTCAAATGTCACATGGACGTCATTGATTAATAAAAAAATACTTTTTGTCACCGCTAGATGTCACTTTGTAGTGGTGTCGACAGAAATTTATCGTATTGGGTGGGCTTATTCAGCCTTAAGCATAACATGCTGGACTGGTAGAGACATGTTAGACACTTTGACCAGTAAACCTTCGTCGGATAGCGAAATTAGTAATTCGATATTACTTGAAACCAACTAGATCTTTAGTAGTACAATCGTATAAGACCATTGTATTGTGAAGGTGGGAATGTGCTTATTAGATCGGTAAAAAGTGGGGATATTACATTTGGAAGGGTTGTACTGAATTTCGTGATCTTGTTAGTCCAAATTCAACCTTAAGTCTACCGCATGTTTTCTTTCAGCTGAGTGGAGCCGTGTTCGTTGCGGTCAATCTGTACCGGATTGATTCCTCGTGTTGTGATGGCTCTCGGTAGTGAAGTGAATGATAACCCGACAAAAACTACTTCCCATAAAGTGAAAAAATGTCCAACAAACAATACGGTGACAGTCAAGAGTAACAGCAGCAATGTTAACAATGGTAAGTATTAAATGGTCATGCCCTCCAGTTATGTAACATTGAGAATGGTTTTTAGGCTACTATCAGGTTTTCATATTAGAATAATTGCTTGTTTCCAACAAGTGCATTTAGGTCATGTGACTGCCATCAGTAAATCATGTGATCATTACATATTTATGAAAAGTATGAAAACCTCATGCACACTGCTTCAGTACTTGCGTGTTAATGTTATTTCGATGCAGCAAGTACATGGTTTTGCTGTTACCGTATCCGACATCAATTGAATGTGAGGATTTTCTAACACAAGACCTTGGTGCACAAAATTTTAAATGTAAATTATTACACAACTTCTCACAATGTTACATATTCATATTATTAAATTAATAATTTAAAGATCATGACAGCTTTACTTAATTTTATTGTTAATTAAAAATGTGCGTTATCTTTTAATAGTTGCTAAGCACAGTAATTAGTATTCTTATGAAAGTGTTGTTTTTTTTCAGCTGAAGCTCTATATAGACTTATATTTAGAGCTATATATGTAGTTTTGACTGTATTAAAAAAAAGCTATCTATAGTCTGTCCATTACTGTAACTGTGACAGAGTTGGTGCAATTAAACTTTAAAATGTGAATAATGTTAAAAAGATTTTATATTTCTATTTAATTATAATTTCCTTTAAAGACATAGTCATAGAGATAAACTACTTGCAAAACCCATGTAGTATACCCATCTTTTGAAATAAATGAAGTGTGTTTTATGCAATTAAAAGAATTATATTCTATTGAACAGTTTACGCAGTGTTGTGCATAAATGTTTCTTTTGCATATTAGAAAAACAATATTTACCGTTTTCATATATTTTTTTTATCAATATAAAAATCTTATTCTCTATATATATATATATATATATATATCTATATAGTTATGAATGCTTATTTTTTATCAATTTGCAGAAAAAACTTAGAATGATTAGAATGAAAGTTTGAATGTTGATTTATGAAGATATGAAAGTATTATCACTTGAGTCCTTGTCATATTAAAAATAAATTCTTTTGTGTTATATATTAAACATGGGTACTATGATTTTTTAAACATATTACTCATTTTAGTAAAAAAGATAACTTCTCCTCTTTATCAAACTAGTTACAACTTCATCATAAATAAAAATGAGATTATTATTATTAATTTAATCAGATACATTGCAGGCCAAAACCACCTGTCTAAGAAGAGGCCTATGTCCAGCCAGTGGACTACTAAAGGCTGTTAATGAGATACATTATTGATCATCATAAATTGACTTCTTATTGAACTGTTTAACTGGCAATATTAGAACTGACTGAACATATTTTTTTTGGTTCACACAATATGTAAATATGACCTATGATGACCTCATCAATCATTTTATTTCTGCATGTAAAGTGCAGTTTAGTTTAAAGGTAATAATGGTATACCAGATACATAATTATTATGTATGCTTGTTTAAAATAATTTATTAAATATTAAAATACGGAGTTTAAATTAAATTTTAATGAGGAATGCTGAAATAATAATAATAATATTTTATTATAAATTAAGTCTGTTGGTAGTACTATATGAGTATTACTATATAGTACTCATATTTATCTCTCATTAAGTTTGGGAATTACTATCTTATAATGGATTCCCTAAAGATTATAATTGTGTGACCACAAAGAGAACCTTACAAGACAAACCTTATTTTCAAAGATGTTATTGTTTTTTTAATAACACTTCAGTAAAATATTTACCTATATGTAATAAGCATCTTTTTGTTTGTCACAGCAAGCAAGTATGATTACCAATGCATCAATTGTGTGGTGTTTACTTAATTTTTGTGTCTTGACTTAAGCACTACCAATAAAGTAATAAATTATGATTTTTACAATGTTCATACATTTAGCTAGTAGCTTTGTAGTTTTTTTACTGACCTCATCCAGTTCTCTAAGTAAATTTGGTTATCATTATCATATTAGTTTATTGTGCATATTGCTAGTGTTCAGTAGTATTTATAGTGCAAGTAATTATCTTGTCTATTTTTGTGGCTATGTTGATAATTGTTAAAATCTCTTTTAAAAAGTAATAATCTGTTGAATAAAAGAGTTCTGATTATTTATAATATAGTAATGTAAACTGGCCAGGAACCAAATGATAATTTACTTTTGAGCAATAATACTTAAAAAAGTATGTTATACTGTTTATGACTAGCTACAACTAGGACAACATAACATGTTAAGTATGTAAACAATGCAATTTAAAAGAACATTATTTGGTCCAAGTAGACCAGTAGTAATTTTTATTTCTTTTTTGCTCTGCTATATTTATTTTAAATGACTATATTTCAGTATTGGGCATAAAAAATATATTGTAAAAATCTCAAAAAAATATTATCTAAAGAACACCCTAAAGTCTTTATCTTGTACTGTAATTGACTTTCAGCTAAATATCAATATCACAGAATAAAATCTGAGGTCATGTCTTCTTGTATTCTTGTCCAAGTAATTTTCGATACCTTTCAATTGAAATATTAATCATAATATTAATTATGTTATAAATAAAATACATAAAATATAAAAAAAATATTACACTGCCTAAATTATCTTGCCTGCTATCCTACATGTTACTATAATCATGCAAGAATGTAGATAATATTACATGTTCTATGATATTATAAGGTCAATACCCTGACTAGTACTTGCATGTACTCAAAATGAGTTAATATCTTTATCACCACATGGAAATGATGATAAAGGAATATTTTCAATGAGTTAATTTTATTTTTTGCTTTTATAGACCCAGAACAGATTTTCTATAAGTGTTATCTAAGGCATTTGAGATCAATTATAACCACTGAGTACCATGCTGTCCTAACAGTATAAAGCTATGACAATAATATGATGTAACATTGTGGCAGGTTAGCGTTTTATTTCAGCTTTTGACCACGTGAGTTTACAATACCCTGTCATTCTCATATTTTTTCGAGTAACGCTAAACTTATAAAACGCTTATTATTATAAGTGGTTGTGGTTGGTGTTGTCATTGTGATTATCTTTGAATATGTTAAGTCTACGACGCAGCGTGGGGGAAGGATAGCGTATTTGTAACCAACGTCGCTAGAGTACTTAAAAAAAACTGGCTGGTGCGAGGAGTCGCGTACGAAGGGAACCGTGCGATTTTACAACATGTGAGACTATGTAGTACTTCGTAAATAATTCTCGCTGTACCAATACTTAAATATTTGCTGCAATAAACACTGAACATTTGAGGCATGTACCTATGAATGCCATGCCATTATTATTGTTGAGTAAAAAAATCTGACAAAAGTATATTTTTGGAACAAGAGCCCCTCTTTTTTAAATTTCATTCTTATTCTTCTTTTTTACGCAATAGAAGTACATAGAAGCAATATAAGTACATACTCTTAAAATCTTAACTGTCTTCCCGTTACGGTAGGTACATGAGACACAAGTCGTTGATCGTCGTCGAGACAGACTGAGACGACTGTCGAGACTGCTTGTTTTGAAATAGCACGGTTTGGAAAAGGATCCCTAATGACTATTAATCTATCCATGTATTTACGATCGACAGTGCATTGACCCAGACAAATTACGCCAGTCTTTACGTTACAAATTTAACTCAGTATACGATTTTTCAATTATCTACCCGGTCATCTGTAGAGTGCAAAGTTAAAACATTTTGATAATCCCATCAAAAAATTACAAAAATAAACTTAGTCTCGCAGACCAAAGGGCAGATTCTATCTAATAGTAATCTGTTACTAACAACATTTTATAGAGAACGTGTCGATATAAAAATCGACGGCCCTAAGAATTAAAAAAAAGAACTTATCTTTACTTTAAAAAAATAGTTTTAAATTACCTCCTCAAAGCTATCAGTTACGTGTCAGTTTTTTTTCTTTTTAAAGTTGTGAACAATGTCGTTTTTTAGGTAATGAAATGTTCAACACGTGTATGACATATGTATGCTTCTAGCCGAAGAATATTTTTCACTATAATAATATCTATCGCTCATACTCACAACTGATGTGAGAGACTCATCAATCGATCTGTGAATTTATAAAGAGCCATGAAACCAATTGATTTGCTTATGATTGTGTACTCTGCTGTAGAGTTAAATACTGCATCTATTTACGTTTCATAATGCAATGTTATCTTTAGGTTATCAATCTTGCAGTCAGATAGACGTAAAAAGCATGTGTGGTGTGTCTATGGTTGATCTACAGTAGTCTACACGTATATATCAGACTTAGCGATAACGTTTAGTGTAATGTGATTTAGGGTTGAATGATAAGAATAGTCATTATTGCCTCCTGCTGTGTACTCACATTATTAAATAGTGCATATTATTAGTATAAATAAATCATTATGATATGAAGGTTGTAGTTAGTAATCAGAAAATTCCATGTGGTTAATATATTCTGGGCGCGTCACTCTAAACCGGAAGTAATCTTTTACCTGTCTTACGATTACCTGTCTATTGTTTACTAGGCGGGGTTACCGGCCCTTTCTTCCCAGTGCATACTTCAACTTGCAATAGTCAGTTGTGACCGAACACTGTGTAGTTTTATTAGATCCGATTCTGATTAACCCTGCACTACTGGCTCGGGGGTGATGACCAGTGGTGGTTTCCACACGATAAACAAAGGCTTGTTGCATTATTTTAATTCGTCCTTTCCACCTAGAATAATCTAGTATCCAAACAAAACGGTATAAAAGGCGAAGTTTATCTTCATAAAACGGTTTTGTAAATGAAGTAACCTTTGTTAGTAAGGATTAACATGCCTTGCTTAATAATAAAACTCGTAAAACACTTTTTACTTTTCAATAATTTTATCACACATTATTTTATTTATTATTTACATTATTGTGATTAATGTGTAAGGGTATAGACGTATAGGACATGATATTTTAAAGTTACTACGCCCATTCTATTCCTTTTGATCGTGGCTGTCCTATAAGTAACAGGTATAAATTTCATATGGTTC